CTGTCGACGATGCAAGTTAAATGAGCAGTTCAAACGACACCTGCTGACTTCTGAGTGGCTCCCAATGCCAGGGACTGGTCTACACCTGTACCAGCTCACTGAGCTTCACAGCAACCCCACGAGACTAGGGTCGTCACCCGCAGGTGGGGGAAACAGGGCAGGGCAGTTGAAATTCCCTTGGCTGGTAGTGGGGCTGGGCTCCAGACCAGCGTTCTATTCGGTGTCTGCAGTAGTGGAGGCTGGAGTTCCCCTGCATTTTCTGGCATCTCTACTGGACACACCACTTCACCCGGCTGGCTGTTCACACAGGGATAGGTGCCACCCACCACGGTCTGCTGTCCACCGTACACCTTAGCTGCCAAGGCCAACAGCCCTTAGAGCCCACTTGTGTGCCTCCACTTTCCTGCTGACAAATGTCACTCCTTTGGACTGGTCCCTGGGCCAGCAGTCACCCCACCTGGGAGCGGGTTAAAATGCACTCTCTGGGCAAATGCTATGTGAAGACGGGCATCATAGAGGTGGTTCCTGCTTGTGGTGAAGCCCAGGCAGTGCTGGGGTAGGGTCTTTGAGAACCGTGCATCCTAAGAGTCTAGACGATGCATCGCTCACCTTACCACAGGTTTGAAAGTCTCTTTCGTCGGCCATCTTCTCTCGAGGCTGCTCCGCAGAGTCCAGAACCTTCTTTCTGTCTCTCCAAAGCAGTCTCCTGTCTCATTTAAAAGTCCCACACTTGTCTTCATTAATCTCCAAGTTGGAAGCTTACCCTTGCCTTCGCCCAAGCTACCTGCTGTGTGTGGGGTGTGGCACGAGCAGGCTGATCTGTGCACCAGCACTCCCACTTTTAGGAAACGTGTGCTACCTCGGTGCCTCCTAGGAGGTAGATACTCATACGGGAAAAGGGTCAACGAGGGTTCCTTGAGAGTCCCCTTTCTACAAGGCACCCCCGTGGCAGAGTACCTAAAGGGTGATGGGAACCCACCAGCCGTTCCGCCAGAGGAAGATGGACACCCGCTCCCATGGAGGGAGTTACTGCCTTGGAAGCCCAAAGGCTCAGCTTGGCTGTCCGCCGAGGTCGCTCCGAGCGGGAGTCGACACCACAGCAAGGGGTCTGCCGAGATGGGGGTCCCGACACCTGCAGCTCATTGTGAAAACGCTCGTTTCATGCATGGCGGGCACATCCTTCATGAGCTGGCACATGCCCAGCTGCATGGTCACCAGTACGTGCTTGGGGTCCCTTTCCACACAGCTGGGCTCGTGCTCTTTCCAGGCGCGCACAGGACCTCTGCACCTCCAAGCAAGGAGACGGACGTGCACCCACCACCTCCAGGACCTGGCAGAGGGCGGAGGGGGGTTATTCCAGAAGCTGAACGGATGCTCCTGGTTGCTGTTAGGTGCCGTCAATGCCAACTCATAGTGACGCCAAGTACAACAGAAAGGCCTGGTCCTGTTCCATCCTCACGTTGTTAGGTGTGAGCCCTTTGCTGCAGCCACTGCCACGCCCACCTCCCCCAGGAGCCCTCCTTTTCCTGCTTCCAGGGTTCTACAACAGGATTGTTGGTTCTTTGGCCCAAACAAAAAAACTGCCATCAAGTTGATTCTGATTCACAGCAACCCCAGATAGGGTTTCTAAGGTTAAAGACTGCCTCATTCCCCACCTCCACCCCCCCACCCCAAGTGGCTGGTGGGCATGAATTATCATCCTATGGTTAGTATTCCAACGCTTACCCAGCAGCGCCAATAGGGGGCCGTCCATGGTACATTCAATATTCCTTGCCAACACTTGAAATGCAAATGTGCCGACTCTTTTCTGGTCTTCCTTCCCCAGTGCTCACAGGGGCGGATCCAATTATGTTCCCCCCACCCAGACTCAAAGAACTGTTTCTACTTTTCTGGAGTATAAGACCTTACTCACCAAAACCACCCCTGGAAGTGAAGGAAGATTCCACAGGTTTGCTGTGGGGTCTTGCGGTTTTTGCTGTTGGGGAAAAGCGATGGGAGAATGGAGAAGAGGCTGGAGGTGGAGGGTTACTGACTAGGGCCTGTGGTGTCGCATAAAGGAACCCACCACTCCCCCAAGTCAATGCGTGACAAGGAGCAGTAAAGCTGCCTGCAGGGAGCTGGCAGTCTAAGGGTGGTAACAGTGTCCCACGGATAACCACCACGAGTGTATAAGGATGGATCTATTAGTGGTCTCCTGAAAGCTCTCGCTTGGGATGACTCAGATTTCCCAGCATGTCTATGTGGGTCCACTTACACACAATGGCCCCTCACCAAGAAGGGCCTCCCATATTACTGAATGTTCTTGTTCTGCCCTTCACCCACGGATATACAATGCCCATCAACACTCTGAGCCTCTCAGGTTTCTGGAGAAGCTGCTATCCCCCAGCTGCCTGGCAGGGACCTGGTAACGGAATTTACCAATGCCACCACTTGGGACATATGTGCCCCCACATAATCATATCAAAATTCCGGTTACCTTAAAATAAAACCTCCCTCCGGCTCCCAAATTCAGCCTGCCTCATTACTATCAACAAGAACTAGAGCAGGAAATAATTTGGTCATGGAGGAGTTTAATGAGCCCCATCTGCTGGAGAGCCTGACCCCCTAAAACAGTGTGACCTCAGTAACACTCCTTTAGCGACATCAGAGATTAAAATGCTGCCAGAACCTCCTCAGATATTTAAATTCAGACCACAGCGGCAATCTTAACCATCCATGGCATTTAATTGTGGAAACGGTCTATGTATTACATAGGTAATCAACTTCCACCCCCACCCTTACCCCTCCGACGTGACGGGACGATGGCAAACACCAACAAAACCTAAACATATGAAATCGCTTCTCTAGTTTCACTAACGGCGAGGGCGAGGGGTGGGGGTGGGGCAAAAAAGACAACAGCACACATGAGAGGACGTCACTCTTGTCCGAGAGTCCGGCTTTTTGAGGCGCAATGTCTGTCCTTGTGCTCATCACGGGTTGCTAGTCTTTCCTGGGCGAGCAGGGAAAGGGCCCCTGCTTCTGCTTCCTTTTACTAAATGCCTTTCTCAAGCATTACACATTATAATTCCCCACTTGACACCTTCTTAGAAGCTTGATTGTTGGATGCATTTTCCATTTGCCAAAAATTCAACGTGGCTTTGCGTGGGCTGCCGAAGTGGCAGAAACAGCAGTGCTGATGCTCTGGTTTGGAGGGAAATATATATCTATATATACAGAGCGAGATGGCATTCACTCCTTGGAAGAACAAATGTCGGAGACGGAAATAGGATGTGCACAGAGTTAAGAAGGCTGACAGACACTACTGGGTTTTGAATTTTGTGGCTGTCAGCCACCGAGGGCTGCAGTGTAGGCCAGAATACCAATCTCCCAGGAGGAGGTCTGGTGAGAGCAGAGTGGGCCATTGGCAGGGACATATCGGAGGGTGTTTCTGGGACTGCTCCGAGAGAGAGAGAGAGAGAGAGAGAGAGAGAGAGA